TCGTTGGACACGCGGAATACGGTTGCTCGCTTCTTCACTACTGTGTGCGTACACCTTATCATTTTGTTTGTTGTAGCTCTCTTCTACGGTAAAAATTTTTTCATCCGTAAAAAGAATTTCCTGATATTTTTTTCCCGCGTACCGCTTCAACAAACCGCGGCATCTCTTCAGTCTCAGGTCCATTAGACGAGCATTCAAACGATGTCCTGTTTTTCTTCGAAGCCCTAATTCTTCATTTAACACCCTTTTCACCGTGGTTCTGCTTAACCCCTTCTGAAGGGCCAACAGATTCTGCTTACGTTTGGGGTTTCTTTTAATTCGCGCCTTCACAGAGTTTATCACTGCTGGAGTCCTAACAGACCGAGGGCGACCACTTCTTGACCTATCGTCTACACTAGAGTCTTCATTGTATCGTTTGATGGTACGATAAACGAATCTTTTGGTTATATTTCAATTTTTCAGTATGTCAAAAATTTGAATTGGCGCGTAACCGCAACGATGCAACGCAATAACTGCAACACGGTCTTCTTTAAGCGTCCACTCCATATTTAAAAATGAGTAAAATTCTAAAAAGTATACAGTTTTATTTTCATGAACAATTCGAAATTCGAATTCAATAAACTTTTTTGTGGCCAGCATTCTAAAAGCAAAGTTTTTACTGTGTGACAATACTTATGACTAGGTATATATATATATATGTTATATGTTTAAATTTAATTAGGAATAATCAATTGGTTTAAAGTTTTTGAAAAAATGGTAAAAACGTAAAATGGGCCATGTTTGTGTCGGACATCGTGCTATCATATGAAATTTATTTCATAAGAGTGTGCCGGGAACTAAAGTCTAAAATAAATTAAATAATTTAAAAAAACCCGACTGCAAAAAAGTAAATTTAAAAGTAATGCACTAAAAAGACCGAACCAAGATTGAGAATAGAAAACAAAATTGAAATAAAGTATTAACAAAGTAAACTCTACTTCGGTTTAACAGACTATACTATGAACTGAAAGCCTAAGTTAAATACCCAAATTAAGCTTCGTAGCAGGGGGGATCCAATTGCAAATTATAAATCGAAAGAAAATTAATGGCTTCTGCTTGCTACTATACTTAATTTGGGTATTTAACTTAGGCTTTCAGCTCATAGTATAGTCTGTTACCGAAGTGGAGTTTACTTTGTTAATATTTTATTTCAATTTTGTTTTCTATTGTCAATCTAGTTTTGGTTGTTTAAGCGCATTACTTTTAAAACGTCTTTTTTGCAGTCAGGTTTTTATTTTTTCAATTATTTTTTAATTGTTAACAATTTACAATAATATTACTAAGTTATTAATGCAGCTAGTTTTAGGTAATTTTCTATGAAGTTGTAAATTTTAACTAATCCTAGTGCATTTTATAAGTTGGTTGACTATTACTCATTAACCTCTTAATTCTACTTAGCTGTGATAGTTTTCCTTTTTATACTACTATTGTGTATACTTTTAACATTTCCAAAAACAGCGGTTTAGTTGGAAGAGGGGGGACGACACGTGACACCCCCTTAAAGAAACTGAAAAATATTTCGCAAACGGAGGCCTGAATATAAACCAATATTTTTGAAAATCCTATCCAACAATAAGCCCACATGATGGAATAGACGGTTAAAAAAAATCATTCTCCATTTACTTGTAGGGAAGTACCCAAAATAAAAATGTTTTTTAAGATTTTATTTCAGTTTTCCAGGCGTGATAACTATGTTATATTCAGGGATGGAAAAAATCATGATTTTTTTAATTTTAATCAAATCATGTTGATTTTTTTTATTTTTTTTTGAATTTTTTGTTTTTTTTTTGTATATTTGGAAATACACGAGTTGGTAACACTTTTTAACATAGTAGGATTAAAAGTTTATGAATACACTAGCTGTTCCTCGCGACTTCGCCTGCGTGTTATTTGGGGTTTTAGTTTTTTTGCACGGAACCCTAATTCTTTTTCTAAAATAAAAGTAGCCTAGGTTACTCCTTATAACATCAGCTATCTGCCAGTGAAAGTCCCGTCAAAATCGGTCCAGCCGTTTCAAAGATTAGCTGGAACTAACAGACAGACAGACAGACAAAAATTTAAAAAAATGTATTTTTGTTATATGTATCGTATATACTTTCATATGCATTTAGTAAAAAGCCGTAATTTTGACATTGCAAACAGACACTTCAATTTTATTTATTTGTATAGATATGTATGAAACTGATTAAGAGTAAAATAATTAATACATACTGTATTAATTACAGTTCATATATATATTAAGAGTGAATTTCTAAAAAATAAAAAATTTGATTTTAAAACTGACAGATCTCATCGCTACGTCTTTGTTGATTTTCCAAAGTTTATGAGACTATTGTAGTAGAATAATAAGAATAACATAAAACAACAAAAGATTTTACTTTATTTTAAGCCAGTTTTATTTCATTTTCTGCCTATTACATTAATTTATACATGTTGATTTAAATCAATGATTTTTTTAATCAAAATCAAGCGATTTAAATCGTGATTTAAATCATGATTTAAATCAAGTCTGATTTATTTCAACCAACCCTGGTTATATTACAGATTTGTAGCACTTAGGGTCCCTGAGCAAAACCGCAGACGGATAGACATGGCGAAACTATAAGGGTTCCTTGTTGTGTAACTACGACGGAACCCTAAAAATTAACAAGTATGAGCTATAAATAATGTTAAAGACTCTGTAAATCAAAACGTCTTATGCTTTCTATCCGGTTCATCTCTCTTCAACATCCAGCAATAGTCTGCCATCACGTTTGTGGCCCACCTTCTTTGGTATCTGCTTTATCAAATTATTATATTACTTTTATCTCATCATCAGAATATGAAGTATTCTCTACTGCCTCTTGAGACAGTGATAATGATGGCCTGGCAGCACAACGTAACTCTTGTTCATGACAATCTTGATGTGTAGGTAAAATCACAGAACTAACACTAGGATACACTAGCCCTTTTTTATTTTTATTGTTTGTGCAGCAAAAGTAACAATTGTCTGTATGATTTTATGGTTCTATCAATCTTGTACTAACATTTATTTTATCATTTATTTGGTTCTATTCAAACCATTGGACTTTTCAATATCAATAATGTATTTCTCCCCCTTTACCATTTATGTAGTTCACAAACACAAGTTGTAATTTAAGGTAGTTTATGAACATTTCAGCATCAAGTGGTGGATTAGTACGTTGATAAAAAATATTCATGTGATGATTATGATAACAAATGGTATGATGTGTGATTTATATCTAAAATATATTTTTTTGGTTTTTAATTAATAATAAAGGTGAAATATGTCTGGTACTGCAATATACAGGCTGATAAAGAAGAAATTATAATACAGCATGACATTACAAAATAAAATATGTGTAAATAACATATGCGATAATATGACATTTAAGTCAAGGTACCTATGCAAGGAACACAAGGATACAATTATTTGATACATTACAATGCATACAATGTAATGCATACACTTAGTTGACAGATGTCCCCAAAGATTATGAAGCATAGTCCTGACACCCACCTATATTTATCAATTTCATGTATAGGTTGTCAATTTATCTAGCAAGTGGTAAATTATGGGTTGCAGTTATAAAGGACTATGTTCCTAAATGGATTTAATTGGAAACACTGCTAAGCAGGGCATGAATAATTGTCTCAGTCCATTGTCATCATCATCATCATTACAGCCCTTCACAAGACCACTGCTGAACATAGGCCTCCCCCAAGGAATGCCACAAAGCACGGTCCTGAGCCACCTGCATATCTTACCAGGTCGTCACTACATCTAGTGGGGGGACGCCCTACACTTCATCCGCCGGATTTGACTCACTGACTTTTTTGTAGAAGCGCCTTCATATTAGCTTACTTTCAACAAGAACATAAATTATAAATTTTTCGTCCAATTTTATTCTGAAGATATTGTGGTTAACTATTACATTAGGACATTGAAAACCTCCATCCATAACCACGGGTGCTGTAAAGTTTTCAAAACATTTTGAATATAAAATAAGTTAATATATCCTATAAAATCTGTAAAAACTAGTTCATTTTAATGTGTAGTGTTCAAGTAAATATAAATCATTACAAAATTGAAAAACTTAGGAGAAAGGAAGTATCAATGTAAGAAATTTAAATATAGCTATGTGGTAAAGGCTTATAATATATATATATATATATATATATATATATATATATATATATATATATATATATATATATAAGCAGTATTAAAGGTGTGGAACAACTTGTACTGTGAAATTCAAACCACCTGCCTGCCTGGTGTGTGTCTAACAACAGAAAACACCACTACTTTTACAGACTGATGATGAAAGAACTTTGGTACATACAATTCTTTCATATTTAATTTTTTTATTACAGCTTTTCAGAGTCCATTGCTAAACATAGACATCCCCCATAGATCACCTCAAGAGGGTTAAACTTGATCATAGGATAAATCTTGTAGAAAATACTTGTCCACTTGTCTGTTAAATGATAAATAAAATCATGAAGATTTGTGATTATCGCTAGCTTATCTGCAATTGTAAAACTCCGAATACCAAGGATCCAAATAAAATATATAAGGGTATTATTACAATATTGTTGAATATATTATTTTATTTATTTTTTTCTTATCTCAATAAACCAATAATAGTACTTCCAAATCTCTAATATTGTTTGAAATACAGTTCATCCAAAATTGTTCCAAATTGATTGGTTTCTATAAATACTCTAGTCATTAGCTACTCGAACAAAATCAATATGCGACTATATCAAATACGACGAAAATAATATAGCTAAGAGAGCATTCATTGATATATTGAACTGCATGCAGGCAAGTGACGTTAAAGAAAATAAAACTTTGGGTATCATCGACAATGGACCTTTTACGGAAGGGTCAAAAAAATTATAATGTAGGTCCCAGCCTTTATCATAAAAATGAGATGAACTAATGTAATACTTACAACTAATAGAAAAGCTGCGTTCTCAGGTGAATTGCGCACAAATAAAACGAGTCTGTCTCAGGTCTATCCTTTGTGAAAGGAATCAGCTGAACACAAAATTTTAATCACACACGATACTAAAGATTGGATTTTCATAGTATGTTTATAACACTTAATTGAAGTTATTTTGAATTCACTTTTAACCAATATGTTCAATATTCTTTTTTTAGAGTTTTAAAAGAAATCGACACAACACAACACAACACATCGACATGAAATTTTCACTCTAATGCACTTTGTATTTGTTTGAGTATGGCGTATGGCCTATGCGCTGTCTTTCTTTTCTCTCTGGTCTCTGGTTCATTGCCTGGTGTGAGTGAAGTTAGCAACGAATAAAAGCAAACATTGCTTTGAAACAGCTGTTTGGCGATGCTTGCTCCATCTATAGTATGTTCACTTACGTACCTTGATTGATATTTTATTAATAAATTTTCTTTTGTACCGGCAGATGGCACTTTATAAGTTTATATAAAAACCAACTTTTTCTAATTTATTGTAATATAATATCTTATGACCGATTTAAACACTACAAAATAAAAATATTCGGTCTCAAATGGGAATGGAATAATTTATTTAGTATTAAGCAACAGTAATACAGTTTAATATATCTGTGTGCACAAGATAGTATGTCTTAGAGAAATAAATAATATAATGATTGTGTATACTATAAAAATGTATCGAAGCGCCATCTGTTAAGTTTTAAATAACTGACCACGAGTATTTTACTTTCTAGTTTCTCTTCTAGTACCATCGATATCTTTCATCCATCTTATACAAAAGTATAGATGACTCTATAATAAGTTAAACGATTAGCCTATTATTCCACGATTGCAGGATTTAAGTTTATTTATAATAGATACACAATTATTTATATGAGTATTGTAATCGGTTAAAATTAAAATATTTAAAAAAATATACCTGAAACCGGCGCTGACAATTTTTTTACGCAACCACATACATAAACTTTATCATAAAATTTAACTTACTAAAATAATAATATGTACAAAATAGTATATTATATATTTAAGCAATATTTTGTATTAAAAAGAATAGTTTTGGTTATCAATATTTGATTATATACTTTTAAAAGATGTATTAATAATTTTAAGGTTGTCATAAAAAATCAGAATAATGCGTAATAAAACAGGGCCCCTCCGGGATTTGAACCCGGGACCTCCTGCACCCAAAGCAGGAATCATACCCCTAGACCAAGAGGCCACTTACATAGTGATCTGAAAAGGTGTAAGACATTTTATGCGATGTAAAAAAAAGTTGTTTTAAATTATTTTTATCTCTGTTACTAGTAATGACTTACGGTTACCAATAAATAAAATGTTCTCTGTATTAACGGCATATAGTACCGAAACGTGGTTCTTCACTTTTGGTAGAAAGAGAAATCTATAAAATCACTCAGTAAGCTATGAAGAGGGCTACTACTATAATGTACGGAGTTTGTCTGCGCGATAAATTTCCCGTGATTTAACACACTAGAAATGAGAGGTGTCCTGTGCCCAATTATGGGAGGTGTATAAGCTGTAACCTTTTACTTGTACTATTGTTTCTTACGTAATAATACAGAAATATCTGTAAATAATAACTTTAACCATTTTTTTTTTTTACTTTATTTAACTTTAACCAATTTTAACACGCTGATAATCTGTGCTAGCGTGGTTCTCTCATGGTCGAACTGACATTCGCGTTGTAGCCATGATGTTGCAGTGTGTATCTACGACGTAAGAGCTATACCGTTTATAATAAGGAGATAATATCTTATTTCATACCTTTGGACCGTGCAGTGGTGTTGTTCCGTGTACCCACGATACGATATGAGGTCGTGGATATTGGATATTTTTATATTCATTAACCAATATCTCTAGCGTGGGTGTCCTAAGAGGCGACAGAGGGAAAGTGAAACAAGACATGGGCAGAAATCCCTGATAACAACCAGAAATTATAAAAATTGCAGTTGTCAACTCGCCTGTCAAGCGTGAAAACATGGCGAAATTGTGATGATGAGCATTCGACTTTTGTAGGCTGTAATGAAATAATTTAAATCTATTTTAAAATTAGATTGTTTATTTTGTATGCCAGCTGACACATTCTTCTTCTAAAATTCTAAAAAAAGAAGATAAAGTGTTTAATGTTTCATATTTTAAATTGGATCTTAATTTACTGCAATGTTTATTTTCATTTGTTTATGTTGGAATTTATGTAATATTATTTGCTATGTTTCTAAAATAAATACATGCAAAAAAGAATTACTGCATAGGTGAAATGGATTTTATGTACATACATGTAAACAGTTTCAAAATTCTTTATTAGGGATTCTGTAAGAATCTCTTTCCCGGCAGAGCCGATTCATTTGTGCTACAACCATAATATAGCTGTAGAATTATGGCTCTACCATGTAGAGTTACAATAATTATAACGAAAGCATCTTTTAAAGTATAAGACATTTCAGGTTATTTATCACTCAATATTAGGGCACTGCTGATGTAACTACAGCGTGGTTACCGATGTTAAATTCAATTAAAAAAACAAATGCGTGCACGGAGGCTTGTTAACAGTCTTTCTGTGTACAACACGTATTGCGTTTGTTATAGCGCAAGTGTAACTTTTCTTATGTCATTTTGGCCACGCAAATTGACGTAATTAGAAATTAAACTGGTGAAGTAGCGCCACATGAAAATGTTAGCCGATGAGGAAGTAGGTTTCGTGTTATTTAAACAATCAGTGAGCCGCAAATATTACGCAAGTGATATGTTTTACGTCTTCTCAGTACGTTTATAGTTCACACTTGGTTTTAATGTAATTCTATTATTTATAAGAATATGAATTAAATTTCTGTATATTTTACTATTTCTCAATGCTTGAAAACGAGTAAACAGTGCGTGTTGCAGTGAACACATGGATCTAAGACGTGGTCCTTCAAGCTGAATATAATTCAGCGAGCTATGGATAGACCTATGTTCGGAGTTTCTCTGCATGATAGAATTTGTTATGAAGATATCCGCACAAGAACCGGAGCAATTAATATAGCATAGAATCAATAATCTGAAGTGGCAAGTAAGCGAAGTGTAGGGTGGTTCACCAGTCTATGAATGCAGGTGGCGCATTATCGTGTTTTGTGGCGGTCCTTGAGGGAGGCCTATGTTGAACAGTGGGTGTAATGATGATTATGATGTTGATACTATGGTAAACCTTGATAGGTAGTAGAACATTTAAATGCGTAACAACCTAAACATACTGTAGGTATACTCATAACATAACATAAAATATAATGTTTTATCACCAAAAGGATCGTTCAAAAAATCTAAAAAACACTGACTGGGAACACTGAACAAGGGGTAAAATTAAAAATTTTGTACAACCGACTTCAATATAAATAAAATGAGAACATCATCAATGTAATCGAAGTCAATTAAATACGCATTATTAAGGATAACAGTATTTCATGCCGGCACACCGCCTGCAACTTTACAAGGCGCAGGTTCGGCCTCACATGGAATACTGTTCCCATCTCTGGGCAGGTGCTCCCCAGTGCCAGCTCCTTCCACTTGACCGCATCCAGCGCAGAGCGGCTCGAATCATCGACGATCGAGCCCTTTCCGATCGGCTCGATTCATTGGCACTGCGAAGAGATGTTGCATCCCTTTGCATTTTCTTTCGCATCTAGACTTAGGGACCTTCAAAAGAAAAAAGCGTACTCCTTTTTAAAAGGCCGGCAACGCATCTGCGATTCCCTCCCTGGTGTTGCAGTTGTTCATGGGCGGCGGTAGTCACTTACCATGAGCCGCATGCTCGTTTGCCCCCTCTCCTATAAAAAAAATAACTCAAAAACCACGGGTTAGATCTTGATCAAATTTATATGGGACCACATGAGAAGAAGATCCCAAGTAATCAAAGAATTATCAAAATTGGTTCACCTAGAAAAAAGTTTTGAGGTAACACACATAAAAATAATACAGTCGAATTGAGAACTTACTCCTCTTTTGATGTCGGTTTCAACCGATAGGTTAGTTGTTATGTCGGCACGTAATAATTGTACAAGTATAGTTTACACCTGACCAATATTACTCATCATCAAAACATTATTACAGCCCTTCACAAGTCCACTGCTGAACCTATGCCTCCCACAAGTAATGCTTTGTTGCCTGTCCTGTTCTTCCTGAACTATCGGTTTCCTGCATTTCTTACCAGGCCGCAAGGAATGTTTTGTAACATGCCCTGAGCTTCCCGCACTATATATATTATAATATGGAATTTTAGTATTAGTGATATACCTACTAATAAGAGTACGGAAAGGATTAGTGACCATATAAATCCTCCATTACAATATAGTCTATAAAAGTCCGTTGCGGAACATAGGCCTCGTAAGATTTCTCCATAGTTGCCACACTTGGCTCAGGAAGATGCTGATGCCCGTCTCCTGTTTCAATCGCCTTCTGTCGCCTCTTACGACATCCACGGGACGATATGGGGTAGTGGTTCTTACACCATCACTACGCGGTATAAATCATCCCAGCATGTATAATATAATGCATGTTAATATAAATGTATGATGAGGCAAAATGTTGCAAGGAAAGTTATTATAAATAGACATATTATATTGTTGGACTCATTTCCAGCATTTTACGAATACATACTCGTACAAATTATTCATTAAATTGTAAATAAATTTAATATATATAGGTCACAAGTAGGTTAAGACGAGCGAGTATCTGTGACCATAATCTTATTTTCTGCGCAGTTGAGTGCAATTCGTAAAGTTTGCCTAAGGTAGTAGTATACTTATACTTTATGTATGCGCATGATTTTATCTGATCTTATAACGCCACGAAAAAATTGAGAATAGTATAAGAATCAACGTATGCAATTGCGTTGTACTAAGGGCGAAAGTGACAAATTTTTAGACGACTTCAAGAAAGGACAATATGCTAAATTCGGCTTTGTGTTTTTGTACGTATGTTACGCGATATCTTCGTCAATTGGAAATGGTTTTTCATGATTACTATTTCTTATTAAATAGGTTACAGCATGCCTTAAGGCGACACATCGAAAACCGTTGAAGCGGGCTATCGCCGGACTAACCAGAGTAAAACATAATTTCTATAAAAACTTCAAAAACGCCGTCATAAGGTCTAAAATTGCATAGCGCCCGCGACGATTAAAACCGCTTAGAAATCGCGTAGAATCTTAAAATATTTTTAAAAAATTATTGATTTTATTAATC